TTGGTTTGCAATACTCATCTTCTTTGCTTTCCATTTGTCTACTATATCTGCACCAATTTGGCTCCCTATGTCTCTTCTTTTTTTGTCAGTGTATTGAGAGAGTGTAAATGCAACACTTTCCTGTACACCTGCAAATGAATATTATTGAGGTCATTAAAAAAAATCAAAACACTACTAATATATTTGTTGACATGTTTTGTATATAAAATTTGTTGATACAATGATTTAAAAATAGTATTACTTAATAACAGGTGAATATGATTTAAATTGAACTTTTTTAGGAATGAACTCATTTTTTTTTAAGTAGAAGGGTAAACTGAAATTATGCTTTTGATGGCATGTGAAGTGGAAAGAACTCTAAAAAAAAACTAAATTAATCAATTTCAGTATTACTAATCAATTTCAAACTAAAATATTGAATTGTACAGCAACACTAATCTTAATACTATTTTTCCACAATTTCCAACAATATTCATACATGAAAACCCAGCTATTAAACAGAAAATTAAAGAGAACATAGATTTTACGAAAATTAATCAATTTGAGCTGAGTATTTTCATTTTTATAAATACAAAAAAAAAAAATGCATGTTTCTAATTTTGCTAAAATTGCATAATTGATGTTAGTGTACCAAAAAATATAAATTATTTACTTCAAAATGAGTAAAGTATAAGTTTTTACCTTATAGATGTGGTAGTCATGGTTGCTGATTTTCTTTTAGATTTAACATATGAACATTTGTTCCAATCCATCTGTTGAGTGGTGTTTAGTAGAATTGAAAAAGGTTGAACACGAGATTACGCTTTTCTTTGGTGTAATTGGTCTAGATTTGTGAATCGAATACATCGAAAGATATAGAGAATAGGATAGACAAGGAGATTGGTAGAACGGCAGTTCGAGATAGAAAGAGAATGGTTCATAGATGTGTATGTCGTTAAATTTCCGGAATCGATTTACAAAGAATAGGTAGTGTTAGGGTTTTGTTGGGTGTAACTGGTTAGTAGTTCCGATTGGACTACATAGTTTTGTAAAGGTGATGTTTGAACATGGAGATGGCTAGAAAATGACATCGAGCTAGAGGCGATAGCTTAAGCAATAATGGCGATGTGTGGATGGTGTAGTTTCCAAAAATGGTAGACACAGTTGTAAGCATTGAAAATTTAAATAATATTGTTGGACCGTGGTGGATATTTAATTCTTAAATTAAGTACTTTAATTAAGTTAATTGGACTAATATTTATTTAATTGGGTAAATTAAATGACCCATTGAATAATTAATTGGTTTAATTACTTAATTAAGTGTAATTCAATGTTGGATTGTTCGGCCCAAGATGATAAAATATTTAATTGAGTTGGGCTTGGCTGCTTGGATGAATTGGACTGCATAATTAGCGGGCTTGACTTGGTCTTGGCCCACTAAAATTATATGTGGATTATATAATTTTGAGGAATTTGAATATTTGATATTATTTGGAAATTTAATGAAATGATGAACCTGGACGCAATGGTGTCCCGATACATTCCTTAATTTAATTAAAGAAATTAAATTAAATAAGGAATTAAGAGTTGGTTGGAGATTTTCCCTCACCCTCACCACTATAAATAGTGGTTTCATTTTCAAGAATTGGAGCTCTGGAAATCTGCACATCGAAGCTCTGCCGAAATCTCGCCAGGATATCGTCTGGAACACGCCCGCAGGTTATATATATACTGCGTATATTGCGCTGAGGAATACGCCGTTTGAACACCGGAAGCCCTTCTTTGAAGATCAAGCTGCATATTAGCCCTTCATTGAAGAACAAGCTACATAACTCCAGAGGCCATTCGGCAAGGAACTACTTCCAGTTCGGCATACTTCCGAACTCGGCATACTTCCAGTTCGGCATATTCCCGAACTTGGCATACTTCCAGTTCAACATACTTTGAACTCGGCACACTTCCAATTCGGCATATTCCGGATTCGGCATACTTCCAACAAAGAACTACTTCAAGTTCAGCATACTCTGAACTCGGCACACTTCCAATTTGGCATATTCCAAATTTGGCACACTTCTAATAGGCATACTGCTAGTAGAGAATCACAGGACTTCTCCTATACAGAGATTGTACCCCTTCACGTTTGATATATACTTGATACTTCATTGTAACCGATACTTTGAATTTTGAATATATACAATTCAAGTTTTTCGCGTTTACAACAGTGTAGAGAAGATATGCGCAGCCGAGAAGATAGGGTAGCGGCAAAATGGTCTTAAGTGTTTTGTTGTTTAGAGTGTTTTGTTCTGGCTTGGGTTTTGGGTTGGGCTTTGATAGGCTAGAGTTTATACTTGGGTTATAATTAGGCTAGGGTTTGTGGTTGGGCTATGGTTAGCCCATATTTGGATGGGTACCAAATTTGGACTGGTTATTGTCCATATATATATATATATATATATATATATATATATATATATATATATATATATATATATATGTATATATTTTATTTATTTATTTATTTGTATTGATTTAAGGTGTAAATACTTTGTTTTTTCTGGTGTCATATACATAAAATATATATAATGGTATAGGTAAATGTAGATGATTATATGTTGCTTTGTCTAGGGTTAGTAATCCGAATGGTCTTAAGTTACTTACTTGTAGCGACAATGGAGAGTATGTTTCTTCAACGTCGAATATTGTATACAAAGAGGTCTTTAACAATTTATAAAATTTGTATATTATTAATTATTTGTTACCTATGCTATGAAGTTATATTTTACATACTTTTCGAGATGCGAATATAATTTATATATTACTAATAAACTAATAAATAAATAATTGAATATATATATATATATATATATATATATATATATATATATATATATATATATATATATATATATATATATATTTATTTATTTATTTATTTATTTATTTATTTATTTATGGGACCCCCTGAGTTATATACCTATAGCATTTTTTCTCCCTAAATTATTGAAGTGGCTGTTTTTCCCCCTAAAATGTTAAATGGACATATTTACCCTTAAACTAAATATTTAATTTATTTTTTTCTCCAACAAATTATGATCATAATTTGGTTCAAACAAAACAAACACTATAGCAACCAAACCGAAATATTCCAAATACAATTTAGAATCGAAATTCGATAATTAGAGTTTATTAAAATCGTGAACCGGAACGGACGGTTCATGTTTCGAACTGAAAAAAATAAAATACATTTATTGTTGAATTTAGACTATTTTAAAATAAAAAATAAAACTTTAAAATAAAGACGGTTCAAAATCGCAAATCAGATCCGGAACCGCCGGTTCATGGTTCAAGATTCAACTTTTTTGATACATAATTTTAATAAATTGACATTTAAATATTGGGTTCTAGATCTGAATCATAACCGTAAACTATTAATTCGATTGCTTTAGTGTCCGATTCAATTCAAACCGAACCGTGGTCATCCCTACGTATACGCAATAATTTGTTGGAGTAATAAAATAAATAAAATGTTTACTTTAAGGGTATAAATGTCAATTTAATATATTAGGGGGAAAAACACCACTTTTAGAATAATTGAGGGGGCTAATGTGCTTACCTAAATAATTGAGGGGAAAAAAGTGCTATAAGTATATAACTCAGGGGTAAAAAGTGCCATTTTCCCTTTATTTATTTATTTTTTTTTATTTTTTTTTTAATTTTAGCCGTGCATCGCACGGGTGGAGTACTAGTTTAGTATAATATTTAATGATTATATATATATATATATATATATATATATATATATATATATATATATATATATATATATATATATATATATATATATATATATATATATATATATATATATATATATATATATATATATATATATATATATATATATATATATATATATATATATATATATATATATAGTTGCACTCGGGTGAGAAACACTGATTTTTTTAAAAAATGCGGTGGCATTTTCGTAAATAATTGAACATCGAAGTGCAAGTAAAATGTATTACAAGTGCATGTAAAATGTATTATAGGTGCAAGTAAAAATTTACACTGAGCATCAATACTTAGTTGCACTTATAGTTCTAAGTAGTTGCACCTATAGTTCTAAGTAGTTGCACACATAGGTATAAGTAGTTGCATCTAGGTGTATGAATGTTTGCGAGTGATTTTCAGGAGTATTACTACCCGCTGAACTCAGATCAATGAATGTTAACAAGACAAAATTACATGCACTTATAGGTGAAAGTAGGTGCACATATAGTTATAAGTAGTTGCACCTATAGTTATAAATAGTTGCACATATAGTTATAAGCACACCCAGGTGCATGAATGATTGCGGAAAGTGAATGCTAACAAGGCAAAATTACATGCACTTATAGGTGAAAATAGGTGCACTTATAAGAGATTTTACTTGCACTTCGATGTTCAATTATTTACGAAAATGCCACCGCGTTGTTTTTAAGTTATTAGATCTGGACACGTGTCACGCGCTGATTCGTTCGCATTTCCTTCCTGGGCACTTATTCGCACCTGAGTGCGTCCCTATATATATATATATATATATATATATATATATATATATATATATATATATATATATGTTCAGATATTGAAATAACAGAATGTGGCTCTGTGACTTATTGTGTTCTTCATCTTTTCTCTACATTCTTTATCTAAATTCTCATTGATCAACGTGTTTGAACTAATAGGCCGATTACAACACATTTAAACTAATTTTATTTTATTATTATTATTTGAGTACTAATAACGCTTTATATTTATTTATATATATACTTTTTTAATATTTTCAATCAATTTTTTGAAAAAATACCAACTAACTAACAATTAATTCAAACAAAGAAAAACTAACAGTTAATTCATCTAACACTTTTTTACCATCACTTAACAGCACCAAACACCCCTACTTCAAATAGATTGATCGATCAGTGTTGATCGGCGATATTCCGTCTTCTCTCACCGGGAATGCTTATGCGCCGATCGCCTCGCAACGCCAATGGAGCTCCTTTTCGTTTCAAGCATACTCAGGTTATTCCATCGCCTCCTCTGTGTGTGTGTGTATATAGACGTTTTTTTTTTAAATTTCTTTCTCAACTAAATAAGCACATTGGGGATTCTCTGTTTCAGTTGCTCACTAAACCAAATATGAACTTTTCGGCACTTTAGATGAGGCATTTTCTAGTGAATCTGAGAAGTAGGGGTTGATTAGCTAAAGATAGAGGGTTAAGCAATGTTCTATAGTTTTTTTTTATTATTGCAGGCTGCTAATTGCTAAAGTGAATTGGAAAGCAGCTTCGAAGTTTTGACAAAAGAGTTCACTGAAATACATGATAATATAGTTTTCAAACTTACCTATATATCTTTGAAGAATTCTTTGAGTCCTCCTTAATGGAGACGAAGGAAACCTAGATCATAGTCTCCTTAGTCTTCAAATTTGGAGATGAAGAAGCCTCCTCCGTCTCTGGAGGGGAAGAAATCACCCATTTCTGTCCATGCCACAGGGGATAACACTACGGTTGATATAAACTTTGAAGCTATCATTTCCCAAATCCCTCTGCTCATCTTCAATCCTTCTTGCGCAGTGTTCAACTGCAGGAGAATGGTGCAACTCAATGAACTCAAGTGTTGGGATATCCCCGATCTCATTAGGAATCTCCTTCAGGCTGAAGCAATGCTTCAGAACTAGGCGTTCAAGTTTTGGGAAATGATAACTGTTAGCTACTTCCCAGAGCTTAAGGGTGGAAGACTGAATCAGCAGAAACTTCAGCTTTTTGAACACTTGTTCACTCAGTTCGAAAGCATGTCTTTCGAAATTCACATCTTTCAGTTTCAGAATCTCCAGGTTGGGTAACATAGAGAAAGTGGTCACAGATTTGGGCACCAAATAGCACATTTTGATGCTCAGTTTTTTAAGATTTGGTGGGAAAGCATCCCAGCATGGGAAATTCTTTATCAAGATTGAGCAAAACTTTAGTGTTTCTAGTTGTTTCAAGTAAAGAAGATTGGTGAGGCAACCATTCAACTGCTGTCTAATCCAGTGCTGTTGATATAACGCCCAATTTGTTACTTCTAGTCCTGCACCGCATCCAGTGATGCCCAATTTTTTAAGATTGGAGATACTAATGAAAACTTCTCTTGTACAACTGTTGAGGTCTATAAAGCAAAGAGTTTGCAGATTCGACAAAACCTTGGTACTTGTCATAGGAGGACTAGGCCACAAACTGGAATTCTTAAGATGCAGATGCCTCAACTTTTCCATTTCCCACATTTCTGTTGGCAAGATCAAACTTCCTGATGTTTCAAGGACTAAGGTTTGTAGATTCACAAGTTTGGACACTGAAAGAGGAAAGTCGGGTTGAGAGAAACTAAGGGCTAGATACTTCATATGAATCAGGTGGGTTATCTCTACTGGGAAATGAACAAATGTGTGTCCAACTAAGTGCAATACTCTCAGCAATCTGAAGGTCGAAATAAGGAAAATAGTCTCAGATTGGGGCATGCCAATTGTACCAAAAGATAGAAAAGAAGAGGTGACAGGAGTAGACTGCTTACTATTATAAGCATATGCACTATAAATGGTGGAATGCTCTTTCTTAACATGCATAAACTTCTCCTTTTCGCCTTCTTGCAAACTCAATTCGCGCAGAAGATCATGAACAACACACGTCTTAACTCCACCGTCAGATCTCCTCTTTGAAACCATAACAAGGCTTCTACTGACAAGATCCTCCAAACAGTGTTCTGCCACTTCCTCCGGGCTCTTTAGCTTTGTTTCTGGCAGAAACCCCTCAGCTATCCATAGCCTGAATAGTGTCCAAGCAGGGATCTCATAATCTTCTGGAAAAGCTCCCGTATAGAGGAAGCAAGGCTTCAAATGGCAAGGCAAGTATTGATAACTCAAAGCAAGTATATCTAAGCATTTCTGTTTATCTTGTTCATTTGCAGCTGAACCAACCATTTTGGCATAATTGGACCAAGAGCTTCTTGTCTTACTTACCTTAGCAAGAGAACCAGCAACCACGACGATTGCTAGAGGTAGACCTCCACATCTCTCTGCAATTTTCTTCCCAATCTCCACCAATTCTGAGGGGCAGGGTGTCTTTCCAAATACCTTTTGGCATAGCAGCTCCCAGCTCTGATGCAAATCCAGAGGCCTCAGGCAGTGTGGAGGACTACCTGGGTGAGCATGAACACCCACTGCCATAACCCAGCTCGTCAGTATAATCCGGCTCCCATTCCTGTCATCCGGGAAACACCTTTTAACATCATCCCAGGCCTCAGTACTCCACACGTCATCCATGACAATAAGATACCTGTGACCTATCAGCCTTCTGCGCAATTCTTCCGCCAGCTGATGCTCACTTTTCTTGTAGATTTCATCGCTGGATGGGCAGACACAACGCAGAAGACCAAGAAACATTTCTCCAACTCGATGCTGTCTTGATACAGTTATCCAGGCTCGCAGGTAGAAGTGGTGCATAACTAATGGATCTTCGTATACTTTCTTAGCAAGAGCCGTTTTGCCAATGCCTCCCATCCCCACTAGCGCCACAACTTCGAGTTTAGATGAGGGGGAGCCACACAGCCGGCCTTTGATCTCCAGTATATCATCATCAACACCCACAATACTCCCTTCTACTGCTGAACCTTTCCGTGGGAAACTTTCAAATTGAGAACTTTCTGCTCCACAACTAATTTCCATCATCATATCCCTAGCTAGCTGCTGCTTCAATTTTGTGAAGCTAATATGTTTGTGTTTACAGTGTATGGTAGCTTGCAGATTGTTCGTAGGGGCTAGCTTTGTTGGATGGAGGCGTTTTGAGGACTTACCCCTTACGTTATGGAATTGCTAAAAAGTCGTTCCCATGGCCCACACTGCATGACTTCTGAACTTTTGATTAAGCCATTAGCCATCGCCACCTACCCAGTTTGAATTCTCGTATATATTTAAATTTCTAACATGATTGCATTTGTAGATGTTGTAAATATTTATTTTATGGTCTTATCCCACTACCCCTATTTTAGTGTTGGTTATGTACATTTATTATTTGATGTTCTGCGTTTTTCTTCTAGTTTCTCTTTTCTTTATTTTCTTTGTATTTTTTTGCTTGGCTGCAATCACAGTGGTACTATCTCAAATGTCCGAGCTAATTAAAGTTAGCCAACTTACAAAACGTGATCAGCAGGAATTACCGTCATACTTTCCTGTGAATAAATTCCATTATTTTTATTATTTTTTAATTGAAAAATCAATTTATTCGAATCTAAAATAAAAATATTAACAGTGAGCATTATGTAAAGCAAAGTTTCGCCAACTCCAATTTAGCAACCATAAACCAGCCAGTAAAAAAACTAAGGACCAAGGGATTCCATTGCATGAAATATTGTTTAACAGCCAAGCATGCATGCATGCATTGCATGGATGTCATTATTATTTGAAAAACCATTGCTGGTTCCATACCATTATTGTAGGCCGGTTGTCTACAATTTAAGAAGTGCATGAATTGTCGTCCCATCTTCCTCCAAGCACCGAAAACATTCTATTTCCCTTTTTGACATAAAAATATTCAAATAAATTAAAAAACTTTCATTCATTATATATTTATATTTATAATAAATATAATGTTTGTCACTCCAGACATTACCGCTACACTCTACACACCCTATCTAAATTCAGGGAAGCACAGATCACAAGATCAGAGCTAAATTGTGACATGGCATGGGGATGGGGTTAGCCAATGTACAAATTTTATACGTATAGTAGAGGGCAATTATTGGAATATAAAACAAAAAAAAAAATTGCCGAGGGATTGAGTGACACATTTGCATCTACAAGACTACAACAATCATATGCCCATTTATTCAAAGGGAGACGACGTGTGAATTTCATTAAAAAAAAAAAAAAAAAAAGGCAACCATCATGTTTGGTAAAATAATTAGTCAATTTTAGCTTGTTTAATTACTATTAGCTGTTTGATTTGATTAATAACTAATGTGAGTGTTTGATAATTAACATTTTGTAATTCTAAAATAGAAATTCAAAAAACTACTCAAAGCAGCTTTTTCAATTATCTTTTAGAGAAAAAGTATGTAATCAACTATCAGCTAACAGTTAATTTATCAAATATTTTTAATTTCTACAATCAACTAGTTAAATCCACTAACATTAATTATATCCACTAACTTAATTAGCTATCAACTATTAACTAACAATTATTTATTCAATTAGTTAAACTCACTAACCTAATCCGTTAACAACTATTAACTAATAATTATTTATTAAATAATTATTAACTAAGAACTATTTTATTAATTAACTAGTTAAACGACTAACCTAATCAGCTAACAGCTACTAACTAATAACTATTTATCAAATAGTCCTGTGTAGTACACTAGTACACCCAAATAAGTAAATGAATCTAGACACACATATAATTTGTTCTAATTAGTTATTAATTATTAATTATTTGTGAGGTATATAAATTAAATTTAGTCGATATTTATTAAAAAGAATTATCATTTAATTTTTTGAAGCAGTTGAATGCACCATGGCCGAGTTTTTTTTGAAAGCCAAAAAATTGGCGTATTTTAATTAATGAAAGGAATCAAACAATCAGGAGGGACATAGTCCCAATACATAGAATGTTCCTGATCAAAAGCTAACGTAACTAAAGTATGAGCACTAACATTAATTAACTAGTCTAGAAATAATATTTAAAGAGCAATAAGTAAAAAGGACCATAGTTGCCCGGCATTGATCATCCACCACCCCTTCATAAGATAGGATGGTCGTAGGACTAGATAGTAAATGATGTCGTAGTTGTGTGCAATCGGTCAGCATATCTACATCGAGTTTGTTACGCTCCTTAAGCCATGATAAAGCTTCTTTGCATGCAAGGGCCTCCGCCATAAGAGGTGAAAAACAACTCGAAAGCTTGCCATTCGTTGCCGCTTTGAATGAACCATCTGGGTGAAGTAGTACAACACCGTAAGCCGCGTCGCCCGACTGTGGACGAAAGCCTCCGTTGAAGAAGCAGCGCGGACGTCCCTGGAGCGCTGGTGCAGGTGGCGGTGCTGCGTGAATACTGCCCGGGCAGTGTGTTTGGATGTACGCCGTCTTGGCCGTGACGGCACGCCTCCATGTAACTGGTGGTTGTGGTAATGCCCTCTTCCATACAGCTTCGTTCCGGGAGTTTCATAAGTGATAAAGAACTCCTACCATTGTGGCAAATTGTTCCTCTGTTAAGTTTGGCCATAGCACCCATTATCCATTCTGGAAAAGTAGCAGCAATAATGGACAAACCCGAAATATTCTAAACTATTTTAGAATAATCACAAAAGTTAGTGTATGCATAACATGCTCATGAGATGTATCACACATAAGACATGTAGAATCAATTTCTACTCTCTTTATAATCAGGTTGTTTGTAGTTGGAAGGATATCATATAAGGCTCTCCACAAAAAGGTTTTTCATTTGGGTGGGACTTTTAACTTCCACAATGTGATCCACTTATCAAAAGTACGCACCATGGGGGAGTTAAATGTTAATATGATCGATGTTTCACAGGCAATGCAAGTATGCAACATAATGGGAAAAAGTTAACATGCCCCATATATGATTCATCTACAAATAATTACTTAAATATTATTGTATGTGCGTGCCTTTTAAGGACTTATATTTTTCACCATTATATAATTCATATTTAATAAATAATATAATGACTGAATTGGTGGATCTATCTCGCCTTAAATAAAGAATGAATTGGTTGAATGACAAAATTAAACGCCAATGTATAAAATGCCAATTGCCCATCCCATCTAGAGCTTGGGACCAAATATAAAAACAATAATACTCACCGTACGTTATAAAATCAACAACAAAATACATTAAGCAGCACAACAACACACAAAAGTAAGCAAACCACAACATAAGTAGTTCACCAGACCATTTGTTGGCAGTATAAGCAAAAACTCCTAATTAACACTACTGCATCAACTACACACCAACCATAAATACAAGAAACTAAGGTTTCGTTGTACGTTTTGTAATCTGAAAATGACTTAATTAATTAAACCCTGGTGTTTTGTAATCTGAAAATGACTTAATTAATTAAACCCTGGTGCCGGTAACGCCGGTGGTTCCCTTCTCAACCGCGGGTGCGCCCATGCCCATGCCGTAGTCGTTGTCCCGGTAGCCCGGGCCGTAGCGGCTGCTGAACCACCCCGCGTGGAGCATCAGCACATACAGCAACTGGGTGAACGCCAGGATGATGACAAATGCCTCCAGCACTCTCAGCCGCCACCCCCTCCACCCTCCAACGTTTATCTCCTTGCATGCCAACCTACACCATACCATACATACAAATCCCATTAACCATAATATATACATGCATATTTCTAGAAAACAGTATGATCACTGATGAAAATTATGAAATTTTCGACCACCTAAAAGTGATTTAATCAAGTCGAAAGCCTTATTCCGACCACTTTTGATATCCAAAAAAACCTTTGTTGCTATTTCCGACCAAAAGTGGTCGGAACAAGACTTTTGACTTATTTAAGATCACTTTCAGGTGGTCGAAAATTCCATAATTTCCAACCGTGAATACCGAGAATTATACTCAAAATGAACAGATCTCTTGTAAGCGCCGACATTGGGCTCGGTCTCTACTGAGAGATTAAGGTCCCAAATGCTCTGTTGGGCCAGTGTGGGGAAGCCCTTAGTTGAGGATTCTTCAACCTTTTAGGAGAAGAAGAAAACAGTACAGTATGATAGATAATTGTAGCTAGCTAGCTATTGTGTACCCAAAAGCTAAGGCGGTTACAGCCCATGCAACTAACGCCGAGGATCCGGCGGCCGCCAGGCTGTCGTTCCTCCACACTCTCAGGTGGTTCCCGCCCATGAATTTCGATACAATCCCCAGTACTGCTGCCAGTATTGAAAACGCCAGGAAGAACATAGTTGCTCCATTTCCTCCAAAATCTGCAATTTTTTATACATTAATTAACTAGATTTCTCAACTTACACCAGACCAATTGTAAACCACCAAAAAAACCCATAAAGAATGTGGCTAAAAAAATTTTGGGCGGAAACTAAATCAATTAGTGAGTAAGAGATTATTGGACGGACAGAGGCTAATAAAAGACCAAGTCCATCTTAAATATATATATATGAAAATAAAATTGTACCTTAGCCCTATGAGATATAGCTTTTAGGACAATGATTAAGCCCTTGACTCTAACAAGTTGTATCAGAATCAGAATCTAGTCATAAGTTTGAGTCCCGGCCAATAGGGTAGGGTAAACTAGCTAGAAAAATTGTTGGAAGATAAATCTAAATCACCAAAACAGAATCTAGTCATAAGTTTGAGTCCCGGCCAGTAGGGTAGGGTAAACTAGCTAGAAAAATTGTTGGAAGATAAATCTAAATCACCAAAACTCTATCTAAGAGTTGGTAAAAGAGATAAATCGTGAGTCACTTTTGTCAATTTGCGGATAATATATACAAACTGAGTGAACAGATAACAAAAAGTGACAAGAAACTGAGTTAAAAGACAGCAAGAAACTTACTAGGATGATGGGTTTGGCCATTGATGAACTTATTGAGACACCAACTAGCAAACCCCAACACAATAACGTACATTATCAAGTTGAGGAACAACAATGGAGCCGCCAAGGTTCTTGCCACCGTCCTAGCCATCCTTAATTTCCTCAAATACACAATACAATCTTCTTCTTCTCTTCTCGTTCTTTACAAAATGTATTTAGCTACTAGCTTTTGGAAGAGAAATGGTGGCGAGATGGAGAGTATATAAGGGAGTAAAAAGGCCATGCAGGCTAGTGCACGTGTCACGCTCACTGGCATTAATGAAACAGGTGGAGGGACACGTGTCGGATGCTCCCTCTCGTGCCTCCTGCTTTCTTCCACACAATACAACTAAGATTTCCTGCTTTGGATTCTCAAAATAAACTATATTATCCGACCCGAAATTCAGAACCCGGCCAGTTTTGTGTCACGCGCCGTACGTTGTGGATCAATCGGATGAAGTTTCTGTTTTCTGTTTGTGTTCAATTCGATCCTTAAATTCCTCTGTAGGACTCTGCTAGAACCCTAGTACTAGAACTTGCCAATAAATCATCACAATTTTTTATTCTTACATTAAATAGGTTTGAAAATTATTAATTCTAAACATAAAACGTTATTTATAATTTTATATGTAGTTTAATGTGATTTATACAAATTGTTGTTGTTCTCAAAAAATTAAATAAATCTCCAATAATCTTAAGATCCTCACACCCAGATTCGAGTGTCCGACAGATGTTAGATCTTTACTTATTGTGTACAAGAAGTCCCTTACATTATCACTGTCGTTGGTGAGATTCGATCCCGGATAATTGTTCCAAAACTTCACCTATGCAATTTATACAAACGGTTGATTAAACGAATGCACGTCAAAAAGTGTGAAACTATATAAAAAAAGTTGTGTGCATCTAGCATTATCCAATTAATTAAATTTTGTAATGTGAATTTAGTGGGTTAGATTTGCAACTAAATTAATAATGGAAGGACTACGTTTACAATTTTTTTTTTTTAAATAGTAATTAAAAATTTACAACTAAATCAACAATTGAAGGACTAAATTTACAATAATTGAAAAATCGTACAAACGTCACATTTGTAACTCGGAAACAAATAATTGAAGTATCTAACACATAAAGTACGTACGTTATTCTAACTCATAACATACATTATATTATCTTACCCCAAAAATTTCATTATTCTAACACATATAAAAAACATTATTCTAACACATAAAATACATTATTGTAACTCATAAAATACCTTATCTTAGTTTAGAATATTCATTATTCTAACATGTGCGCAAAGCAATAATTTTTATTTTTTTTTAACATAAAAACGACGTTGTTTTGGACCGTAATCCACACAAGTGTAATTTGCCAAGATGTTGAGTGTTGGTAAATAAAACTATGTTTTCTTAGTAATTAACCTTGTAAAACATATAGACCGTGTTTGGTAAATTAAAATAGTTAGCCTGTCAACCAATTTTGATTTATTTGACCACTATTAGATATTTGACTTGGTTAAACAATCAATATTTATGAATGTTTGATTAATTAGCCTTTTGTACCAACTTATTACTCTAAAATGCTAAAATTTAAAAAGTTGTTCAAAGTAACTTTTTCTATTAGCTTTTTTAGAAAGTCATTTTGTATGTAGTCAGTTAATAATTAACAATTAATTTACCAAACATTTTTCTATAATGAGCTAATGTGGAAGAAAAATGTTGATCATAGTAATTACCCTCTACAAAACAGTTTCGTTGGTTCTCACTTCAATTCTTCATTCGATCAGGTGGACATCACAATCTATTATTGTGGTTGATCCTCTTCTAGAAGGGTCTAGATCAGCTGAGACAAATTAATTGAGAGACTAAAATATTGATTTCTTCAAAATTAATTTATCAATCAAATGACAACTTATCATATTTCTTCAATTAAATAGTATATATAGGGGCAAATGGGCAATCCCAATCAAGTGCAACTTATTATATTTCTTTAAATAGTATGTATAGGGGCAATTCTAATCAAGTTGGTCAGGTTGTTAGCTTGATAATTATAAGGTTACAAGCTCGACTCCTAGCGGGAAAGACCTAATGACCTTCTTGGTTTGAGTTAGTTAACTATGGGCAACCTACGTTATTTATCACTATAGGCAACCTATGTTATTTATCTCCTTGTGATCTTTTGCCAACTAGTCACAAAGCAAAGTTTACCCAATGGACGCCTTTAAATAGTGACTACGAATTTCTCTAATCATTAATAAAATTATACATTAACTGACTAATTTATTATATAGAAACACAATCACATAGCCAAATTTTAATATTATTTCAAAACATATAAATTAAATGATCTACTTTAATACCAGGACTATGTGGTCCAATGGTACCCGGGTTGGACTTCCATTTGGAAGGTTGTAAGTTCGAGCCTCAGTGGAGGCGTTATTAGCTCTTTGTGTTTCAGTAGGTTGAGAAAGTATATGAACAGATACTACAATGTAATAGAGCTAGTAGCATTCAAAAAAAAAAAAAGATCTACTTTAATAATTTTAAAATACATATAAAAAATTCAAATTAAAGTCTAAAACAAAATAATCATTCACCTTTAACCAATTTCAACATAATCAAAATAAAATCACATTGAATATCAAATAAATAAATAATTAAATAGTATGAACTATAATAAAATACCCCCCAAAAAAATAGATTTACAGAATAACCCTACTTTAAAATTCCTAAAATCTAACAAAAAAACTAAAATCCCAAAAAGATGCTTTAAAAAAAAAAACATTCATTTATCAATCTAGAATTAAAGGTTACAAACAAACAAATTACTGAGTAAATTAAAGTTCTCTAGTATTGATTAATTGTTAATATTTTAAAATTTATATTAGATTCAACGTAACGAAATATAATAAAAGTTTGTGTGGAAATCAGGAAATTATTTTTGAAAAATAATTTATAGAAAATGATTCACTTTTTAAAAAATATTTTTATTTTCTGGTTAGTGTTTGACTAAATGTCAAAAAATTATTTTTTTCTATTTGGTTCATTTAAAAAAAATGAATAGAAATCTATTACAAAATTTTTTTGTACAAAATATTAATGATTTCAAATTGAAAATATAGCCAAGTAGCTTGTAGCTCAACGGCATCTCTGTGGCTCTCCCATTTGGTTCGAGTAGTACTCAATATTTGATAAATATAATTTTGAACTAAATAAATTAAAAAGAAAAAAGAGTAAAAAACTTAAATTAATATTTTTTTTTTTTTGAGAAAAATGTCAAATAGGCCCATAAACTTTAGCCAAAAGGATAATTAAGCCCCTGAACTTAAAAAGGGAGCAATTAAACACTTAAACTTATCAAAATGAGTCAATAAAGTTCATGAACTGGTAAATGACCTATTATAACGGGTCATTTTAATTCCAGCTAAAAAATCTGGCGACCAAGTCGTCGCCGTTCGCCATCTATGGCGGAAGGCGACCAACTGGCCGCCTTCCGCTGGGGAAGGTGACCAACTGGTCGCCTTCTCCACAAGGCGACCGGATTGGTCGCTTTTCCATCGGACGTTGATTTTAATGGTGGTCAACGTGATACTATTACCGGTAAGATGTTGCTTACCGATAAATTGAATTTATTTGACTTATTTTAACAAGTTTAAGTGTTTAATTGCTATTTTTTAAAGTCTAGGGGCCTAATTGCCCTTCTGGCTAAAGTTTAGGCGCTTATTTGACCATTTTTTATTTTTTTTTTGAATTATAGGTCAGGACAGATCGGGATTTTTTACTATTTAATTTGACCTAGACCTAGTCTAGCTCAATTCCTTTCAAAAAAAAAAAAAAAAAAAAGTCTAGCTCAATCAAGTCCAAATAGCAACTGGGGCCATTTCTCTCATTTGACACTAATAAATTAAAGAGGTAGAAAGAGAGCGAAATGTAAAGAGAGATCAAGAAAATGTCTTCCCATAGAAAAGATTTTGGAAGACATTTTTATCGCAAAAAAAAAAAAATAATAAATAGATAAATAAATAAAAAATCCTTATGACCAGATGTATATTTTTCTTCGAGAACTAAACAGTAAACACCCAAAAAAAAAAAACAGTTTTTAAGTTTTGAAATATACTGTAACTTTAATAACTTTTATTTTTTCGGTTCCCACTGTCGATGTAAAAAGGTTTTTAGGAATGGTCATCTGGAGTCCCTTTCATTGTTTTTCTCCAAAATTATTGGGCATTTATTATTAATTGCTTACCATCACGAAAACTTTAAAAAAAAAAAAACAAAAAAAAAAAAAAAAACTAACAAACAAACAAAGAACAATGAAACAGATAGTCGTGTACCACGATTGCATGAGTAATTGCCGATAAAAAATTAAGTTAACAAATAATAAAATAAAAAGAAAATTTTATTTTATTTTTTGTCCTAAATTTATAGGTGACAATTCACTTCTAATCATTTTTTTTTTAAAACTTTTCTATTAGGTCCTAATATTATTGTGGCATGACCAATTGACCATTTCTTTTCCTCCAACAACAAAATCGTTTAAATTTTGTAAAATAGAAAGGCATTTAAATTTTCAATTATAAACTTTATATATATATATATATATATATATATATATATATATATATATATATATATATATATATATAACCAAGTTAGGGGCCCATCCCAACGTTGGGCCCAGGACGGGTGTCCATCTTGCCCACCCTCAAGGCCGGCCCTAGGAGTATACTGCGTCAAAATATTAAATAGTATCCTGTAACTATATCATAATTTTTAATTTGGTCATCGTCTATCAATTTATTCAAATTGGTCATTCTCTATGCAAAATTGACTTAGGGTCCGAAACCTGCAAAAGTCATTTTCTAAAAATTTATAATGTTTGGCTATTAACGAAAAATGAAATCAACGGAAAACATTAATTCCGGTCAAAGAAAAAATGACTCATTTTTATGAAAAATATCTTATGAGATTTTTATTGACATTTTTCAAATTATAGCATTCTCTTCTAGCTTTTCTTCCTTTTTTTTTTTCTTTTTTTTTTTTTTTGGAAATTCTTACTTTTCTTACCTCATCTTAGCATTCTTGCTATTTTGACTTCTAGTAGCCAATTCTAGCATCCACTTGTAACATTCTCTTTTAGTATCCACTTGTAGCATTCACGTCTCTTCTCCTTTAG